GCAATATATCATTTAAGTGACAACTTTGTGTAAAAAAAAAAAAATGTTTTTGTAATTTTCCAAAAACTTGTGGAAAAAAATAAATCTTCCATGGACTCAATATGCCTCTCAGCAGATAGCTTAGGGTGTCTACTTTCCGAAAAGGGTTATTTGGGGGTGTTTGTACTGTCCTGGTATTTTACCACCTCAAGAAATGTGATAGGCAGTCAGAAAGTAAAAGCTGTGTAAATTCCATTATGTATACCATAGTTTGTAGACGCTATAACTTTCACAAAAAGCAATCAATATACACTTATTGGGATTTTGTATCCAAAAACATGTAGCAGAATACATTTTGGCCTAAATTTATGATGAAATTTGAGGTTTTTGGATTTTTTTATGACAGAAATGAGAAAATATCGGGGGGTTTTTTTCAAACTTTTTGGTCTTTTTTTGTTTATAGTGCAAAAAATAAAAAGCGCACAGGTGATCAAATACCACCGAAAGAAAGCTCTATTTATGTGTGAAAGAAAGGACATAAATTTTGTTTGGGTACAGCTTTGCATGACCGCGCAATTGTCAGTTTAACTAGCGCAGTAAAGCAAAAATTGGCGTAAATTGCTGTAACTATACCATAGTTTTTAGACAAAATAACTTTCAAACAAAGTAGTCAATATACACTTATTGAGATTTCTTTTTACCAAAAACATGTAGCAAAATACATTTTGGCCTAAATTTATGACTAACTTTGAGTTTACTATATATTTTTATAGCCGAAAGTAAAAAAAAAATACCACCAAAAGAAAGCTCTATTTGTGTGAAAAAAAGGACATAAATTTAGTTTGGGTACAACATTGCATGACTGCGCAATTACCAGTTGAAATAGTACAGCGCCTGATAGCAAAAAAAAAGGTCTGGTCATTAAGGGGGGTAAATCCTCAGGATGACAAGTGGTTAATATTTTGAATTAGATTTCTGAATATCAGCAATAGTAGCATATTTTGAATGCATAGAAAGCACTCCTGAGGAAGGAGACTTTGAAATGAGTCAGATGCAAACATGTGCAAACATTGTTTGTAGCTGCAATATATGTATTATTATGGTTTTTAACCAATTCTTTTAACAAAAAATGTTTTTACTAATAAAAATGTGAATAATTTTTATATCGCAATATGTTTTGGTTGGTGATGTAGCCCTTAAAAGTCTAATTTATTAGTTGGAACTTGGGGGGGGGGATCCAAAGTCGGAACAATGACTGCTGACAATAGAATAGAAAAGAATGCAGTCTATTTACTAGAGACCAGAGACATCGCCAAGAAAGCACATCCTACCCATCGACTAGAGACTGTTAACATCACTGAGAAGGCAGCCTATCTATTCACTATAGACCAGTGACAATATTGATCTTCATCCTATCCATTCACTGGTGACATGGAGAATGCAGCTTAGTCATTCACTAGAATAGATAAGGTTTATCAAAAAGAAAACAAATGGACTCCTTCATCCACACATTCGAGGTGCATGAAGGAATCCTCTCCTGCTGCGCTATTACGTTCTGACAGTGGGGACCCCTCTGCTGTAAGAATACATGGATCTCTGCCCTATGACTTACCATTTGATTTCCCTGCTTAGGGTGGATTTAAAGATATTCTCTAAGATCTGTTCCTCCAGATTGCTACTGCATTGGGAAGCAGAACTGAAAACTACATTCTCCCAACTTCAAATGGATAAGATTATCCTTTTCGATAGCATGCAAGTACCAAGATGGAGGATATAAACTCTTAACTAGTTGGTGCAGGACCCCTGCAATCCTCCGTCACATGTTCCCACATGTTACTGGCATTGTCAAGAATCAGAAGGCACCTTATTTTCCATTCATTAGAGTGCAGTGACATTGGAGTCTATCCATTCAGAATAGGATGGTGACATAACTGAAATGCAGCCTATCCATTCATTGGTGACATTGCTGAGAATGTAGCCTATCCAATCACTAAAGTCATGTGACATCACTGAGAATGTAGCGTATCCAATCAGTAAAGCCAAGTGACATCACTGTGAAAACAGCCTATTCAATCACTAGAGACCAGTGAAATCAATGATATACACTCAACACTGATTAGAATTTGCAACCACTTCCAGGCTTACTAAATAAAGCAATATAGAGAACAATGATTGGTTGCTATGGGTTACTGCAACTTTCATAGTCTCCTAACTTATAAATTTTCTTTTTTATACCTTGTTGACAGAAAGGCAGACGGACTCCTTGTTCAGCTCCATTTACATTCAGCTCTGCAAATTTCACTCCTCTGTGTCTCCCGTTGGTGTCTCCACGCCTCATTAATAAAAGAATCCCTCCAGCCGTCACACAAGGCTGCAACATTATAATAATTTGCGGCTTGGAAGAGATTGCAACTAATAATTTGTAGCCCTGGCCAAGGAACTGCCACTGGACGCTGAGGAGGAGTGAGAGGGGGATTATTAGAAATCCTGAAAATGGATGTAAATGTTGGGCCGAGGCCGAGTCAGCTGGGAAACACGTTCAAAGTCAAGCGCATGTAGGGTATGGACACACTGTGGAGAATACCTCATCACAAACTGAAACATTACTGCATAGAACCCCCAGCTGTTTATGGAAAAGCTGAAAAAAAAAATATTTTTTCACTTTACCTTTACACCACTAGCCAAATAGACCAATATGTATTTGGAAATGTAATCTATCCACAGAAACACTAAATACATACAACTAAAACCTTTTTAAATATGCGAAAATGAACCATAAAACTTATACAGGTGCATGCTTTGAACAATGCCTGTACTGACCAAATATGTAAACTTCCTATTTTGTTTAAAAAAGCTGGTTGGCTAGCTGTCATCCTTGGCTTCAATGTTTTGTGAATCACTGTACAATTACGTAAAACTGAATTTCACTTTGCTGTTGCATCCTCTGTGAGCTGGGGATCGGTAGAAGGTACATATGCCGCCTGGGGTAAGCAGTCTCTCAGGCATAGATATCAAATCCAATGAGGTGGTGACAAACAGTGCAGTATTTATTGGTGATATTTACAAAACTATTCACAGGTGCTGTACAGTGGTTTAGAAAATGAACAAGGCAAAAGCATAGCCATATCCCAGCACTGACTACACAAAAATACAGGTCCTAACAGACTGAGCAAGACTACCACTTGTCAGCCTCCACATATACAGCTTGTTAACTTTTACCAACCTTTCAGCTCTCTCCCACAGGACACAGGTCTGATCCCCAGGCCAAGAGCTCTGGCTACAGGTTCCAGGTGAGATTAAATTCCCAATGGAGAGAGGAGTAAACCTTGCATTAGACCACGGATCAGAAATCCCTAAATGTATGAGAGGAACCTGGGAGACCTATAAACTGCAAACAGGACTTTCCCAGTCTCCCTCTGAGACACTCTGCTACACCTCTTTCCAGGTCAATGATTAGAATTTAAAACAAAGACAGTCCAGAAACTAGCATTTCCAGAAGAAGCTCTATAACAGCAGTCTACCTTTATTTTTCAAGTGGAATGTTACATTAAAGTGGCTATACTGTTGCTGTAGTCTGTAAAAAATTAACAGAATTTTTACCCAAAACCTGTCTTTAAAGCTGATGTTTATTCTGCTTATATTTTGCCTTTCCTGGTTCCTCCCAGTCCCCTCATTAAAATGCTAATGCTATAATTAAATAAAATCTGTTTTCAACACATACCTTATTTTAGGCCCAGTGACATCATCACTGGATCTCTGTGCTTCTTTATGAAATGCAGGCAGATCATGGCTGGAGGAAGGGGCCAACAAGGTGCTCTACATAGCTTTTTGAAAACATCACAGCACTCTAACTCAGTACTCCTCTTAAGAGTCTTCAGCCCAGATACAAGCAGTGGGCTAACATAACATACTAAAATGCCTTGGTGGGTTGGTGTCAGTTTGGAGGAGTGGGTGTTCCTAAATAGGCTGCATTTGCATACCGATAGGTAAAGCCCAGATGTGATACTGAGCCTCTGTGATTGAAAGAACTGAAATCTAATGAATGAAAGGGGAGGGCGAGCAACATTAGGCTGGGGAGGAAAGCTAGATGATGATGGGCATACACCAGCAAGAAAATGAAGCAGGTTCTATCTCACTTGCTGCAGCTTCTAATGGATAATGCATGCAGTGAAATGAGAGTAAGCAACTACAGAACAGGAGAGGAGCATAAGGCTGAAGGGAAGAGTGGAGTCTAACTTTAAAGTGTATCAACAGGCAGTTTTTTTTTTTTTTTTTTGATACAGTGAGGATTGTTAGAGACCCTGCCAAGTTTTTTTGCTGACCATTTCTCATTGGAGAGATTTCCCTTCACTTTTTATACCACAAACACAACAGGAAGTGACAGGAAATATCTCCAGTTAGGAGAAATCCTCTCCTAAACTGTTTCATTGTAACAGGTATTCCCAATGGAAGATTTACCACCACCTGTTCCAGTGACAACTTACAAATGTTGGATTTCTTATTACTTTCTGTCCTAGTGACAGTGGTCACTAGAAAATGTGAATCTTCCTGTAGGGACATAGACAGCAATAAAAACCTTGCAGGGGCTCTAACCTTTCCCCCAATTAATCCAAGATATAATACGTTTTTCTTTTAGATACCCTCATAAATCAATATCTCACAGCTTGCCAAAAAGCAGATCTAGAGTTGAAAAGTGAATGTAGTTGTGGTTAATCTGTCTGTTTTTAATTCGTTTCTGCATGCTCACAGATATTTTTATGCTTGAGATCATCAGTCCCCAGTTAATTGACCTGCCAAGGAGCAGAGAACGCTAGAAGGGCATGTTACAAAGTCAGGCTTCTTTCTTATCTTTCACTGCCCTGTACTGATGACCAGTGGTGATCACTACTACATGCTAGCCTACACTACAGACCCAATGTTGGGTCATTAGGCCATTATGCTTGGCTTTTTAGAAAAAATCCATGTGTATACTTTTCCCATCAAACAGGGATTAGGGATTTGGGAAAGAAGTGAATCTTACTTCATCTCCAGCACACCTCCTCCAGGTGTTTGCGGCGTTCGGCACGTAGACTGGTTAGGTGGATCTCCTTCTCGGCCAGTGACTGCTGCGTGGAGGACAGTTTGGCTTTCATGGACTCCAGTTCCTGCTTTACCTTCTCCATCGCCATCATCAGCTCCTCCACCTTACAAAACACAAGATTCATGCTAATTATAAGAGAAAGAGCCATGATTTCTCCTAGATTGTAAGCTCGAAAGAGCAGGGCCCTCGAACCCCTCGTGTATCACATTGTATTGGTATTGTTCTGTCACATGTTCTGTCCCCTTTGTAATGTACAGCGCTGAGCAAACTATTGGCGCTTTATAAATACTGTATAATAATAATAATAATAATGATTTTGTTACTTTAGTGCTCACTATCCTTATTACACCAACAAACTACGCCTATCTTTATAGAGGATACTTGGCCATACACATTTATTCTAATGTCTTCTCCACAATCATACATGTTCTCCAAGGCTGGTTTCAGTCAGAATCAAAACAACCCACCAATCTGATTTTTGACTGTATGAAGAAGACCCAAACATTCCACAAGAACAGATAAATATAGTACAAACAAATGAAGGCCGACAGAGCCCTGGTGGGAAACGGACACTGCTGACCACTGAGCCACCTAAGAGATCATTACCTGTCAAACAGCTGCTGAGAAAGTTTTAATAAATTTGTACAAGTTCCTACCTGAAAAGGGATATCTGACATCCAGACAGTTTCAAGCACAGCTCTGGGCTCAATAACAATAAGCAGCCCCCGTCATGCAGGTTTTAATAATGCATCTGGCAAATCTGATACTTTACATGCCAGGATTAGTACAGCTTCCGCTGTACTTCCAGGCCATGAGGATGTAAGCACTACAGGTCTCAAAGACCACAGAACTACTGTTGTTTCTGCCTCCCTCTCCTACAAGCCATTCACAAAAGACACAGCTCCAGGCTTCATTTGAAGCTGAATAGCCAGGAATAGAGGGAGGCAGAGACAAATGATGGTGATATCTCCAAGACATAGGCGGAGGTGCTATGTAGTTCATGTAGGTAAATTGGGCAGGGATGATAACACTTGCTAGATAACATGCAGAGAGTACAGGAAGTTAGATGCTCACTGGATTCATGAAAAAATAGTTTTGCCCTTTTTGGCAAGACATAACAAACCACTTTTTATGTATATTTATCAGACCAAGGGGGCAAAAAAACTCCCGGGATGTTTATTGTTAGCATTTACATACACTATTTAAAATGCAACAGAACTAGAAATAAAACTGGCACTTTGTGCACATGCAAGCAGCTGAAAGGATGAAAAATATAAACATGAACCTGTTAAGAAATTTGTAATTGTGGTGAGACATATTGTGTAGCCAAAATGATGACAACCCCTACTTCCTGGTTCAGCTGTGGAGTGTCTTTCAGTGTCACCTGCCTGCTTCCTGGCCAACAAATCCATATAATTCGATTGGTGACTCACTGTGTAATAAGCAGACATGAGACATGGGAAGTTGTAAGGTTTCTTTCAGTTCCTGTTGAGGTGTATGTCCAATTAATGGTTTCTTTTTTTGTTTTTGCATTCGTACCTCCACAAATGTACTAGGGCGATGCCTCTGGTTGTCACCTTCTGCAAAGCATGGTGGTATGTTATGAAAAAGGGTCATGTGCAATTTCAGACATGTTAAAGTATGCTGGCAGCTTATTCAGTTTGTATGGGTGATCCTAACCTAACAGAAGTCAAAATGTGATGTTAAAGCAGAACTATAGGCAAAATGTTGTTTTTATATTTTGGATACAGCAAGGGATTATAACCCGTCAAATTTTTTTCCCACCATCTTTTTTCCATTGTGGAGATTTTCCTTCACTTCCTGTCCCATAGCAAAACAGGAAGTGAGAGGAAATCCCTGCAAATTAAGAGAATTGCTTGGGGAGTCAGAGGTCACCAGAGCTAGTGTCCCCATTACAAGATTTCCCCTGTATTACTTTTCTGGCGACAACCCAAAATTTGGGGTTTTCTTTTACTTTCACTTTCAATGATAAAATGGTAAACAGAACAAATAGGGAGGATGAATGGCCCTAATGGGGACACAGACTGCAACAACTGACAGGTGTTCTAAACCACCTCCGCTCTATCCAACTAAAAATAAAAAAAAAGTTTCACTTTTAGATATACGGTAACATGCATTAAAGCACAGTGAAGAAGTAAACTGTCCCTTACAACCCTGGTGACAATGGTTTTACCAGACAGGAAAAACAGCAAAAAAAACCCTCAACACAGACAAGAATAAAAAAAAAAAACACTTCTTTAGAAGAGTGGGGGACGGCTAGAACCCCTGTCAGATTTTTATTTCTGTCTATACCCGTTATTGTAGATTGTCCCCATTTCCTGTCTGATTAAAGTGTTTCAATGTAGGAGCAAGTAAGAGAATATCACTCTTAAGGAGTCCAAGGTAGCAGTAAAAACTGACAGGGTTTCTAATCCTTCCTTACTATATACCAAAAAAAATGGTTTTGGCTGGACATACACTTTAATGAGACATCCAAAAAAGTACATAAAACTAATTAGGTCTCATGTAATAGTTGGATACATGAAACTTTATTTCTTCACAATTAAAAAAACAAAACAGTAAGGTTATAAGACCCATTCTGTTTAGCAATTTGTCTACCAACTCCAGTCAGATTTATTTTGTACTTGAAACAAAAAAAAAAAAAAAAGACACATTTTGCACTTGCTGCAGCTTATTATAAAAGAAGTGTGCCTGAATGCCTGAGCAGGAAGGGAAGTACACTCATGTAATATGGAATTAGAGAATAAAAAAAAAAAGACCTGATCAAACTGTTAATACTTTGAAGGGAAAAAGTCAAAAGGTATAGCTAGACTCTCTCTACGTGCCAGGTTTCTTGAACTCGAGAGGCTGCGTAGTTTATGCACTGTGCCTGACCACCTCAGCGGCTAGAGAGGGGAGAGAAGGCCTTAGCAGACGCACCAGGAACAAGAGTGTGATTCACGGGACCCATAATAACCCCCTGATTATGAGGTAATTATAATTACAGAGGACTTTGGTTTCTACACGCCAAGGTCGCCCAGTGAATAAGAGCTCAGTCTATAAAAGTGAATGCATTGTGAGCGACTTGTCCTTTTTCCACGCGGCCCAGCAGCTTCCCGCCATCACCCCTCACTTATCCCCAGAGCGAGGTGGGATAATAAGACGCCGGATGATTTCAGCCTGGCTGCCTCCTGGGAAGCCAGAAGAGGATCTAAGAAAGACAGATGGGGACAGAGTGTGGACTGTCTTCCCAAGCAGTGGTCATCTGGGTTTCTTTCTGACCTCACCGCTTTAATTACATGGGACATCATAGGCAGGTGGAACACAGGACCAGCGCTGAGAGTTTGTCGGACGTGATAAGGTGTGGCTGCCTGCAGACGCCCAAAGTTCGTCTGTCTATGTATAGTTCAGAAACCAAGAAAAGGTAGACAGCCTTACAAATGGCTAAAAATAATCTAGCAGAATTTTTTTTTCTCAAAATTTTGGTAACTCAAATTTTCCAAACATGCATTCTGAAATTTTAAAATACATCTAAAGGTGAAACCTTTTTTCCCATCTTGACTGAAGTAGGTGTAAGTGCAGCTTTTCAATCTGTGTACCACTGAGGATATTTTCTTTCATTTCTTGTTTTGTAAACCCAACAGTAAAGAGAAGAAATCTTTTCCAGTTGAGGGAATTTTTCTTTAAAGCTGTTGTCATCAGAATCGGTGTCTCCATTGAAAATGTTCCCCTCACAGTTTTACTAACAATTGAAAATTTGTGATTTCACATCATTTTCTGACATATCTCAGTGTGTGGATTGTGCTGGTCTTTTGTGCATCCAAACCAGCTCAAATTTGGTGCCTTTACTATAAACAAGAATGTGCAGGAAAAGCTTTGTTGATGATTCAGTATGGGCTCACTCACACTTCTCCATTCCTGTGTGTTGCGTTAACATACCTGCTTTACCTATTGCAATTTTTATCCCCTTCATGACCAGACCATTTTTTTGCTATTCGGCACTGCGCTACTTTAACTGGCAATTGCGCGCTCATGCAACACTGTATGCAAATGAAATTTATAAAACATTTTTTCACAAACGTTGAGCTTTCTTTTGGTGGTATTTGATAACCACTGAATTTTAAATTTTTTTCTATATTATATAAACAAAAAGAGAGCGGAAATTTGGAACCCCCCCCAATATTTTCTACTTTCTGTTACAAATCATATCCAATAATAATTTTAAAAAATCAATAAATCAAATTTCTTCATAAATTTAGGCAAAAATGTATTCTGCTACATGTCTTTGGTAAAAAAAAAAAAAATCCAATAAACGTACTGTATATTGATTGGTTTGTGTGAAAGTTATAGCGTCTACAAACTATGGTATATATAATTGAAAATCGATCAATTCTGACGTACTGACGGCTGATGTAATTTCTTAAGGCCTTTAAAATGCCAGGAGAGTACAAATACCCCCCAAATTATCGCCCATTCTTCATGGGCACACGCTTACGTTATGTCCACCAAGAGGTTCTCATCGGGATTTAAGTATGGTGACTGCGTGGCCACACAAAAAGTGTTTCCTCTGCAACCATGCTGTGGACTTGGAGGTATGCTTGGGATCATTGTCCGAGTTGAAAGGTCCAACGTTTTTCCAAGCCTCAGGTGGTGTGATGCGGACTGATATCACGTTTCCATTCCAATATCTCCTGGTACTGAAGAGAATTCTTTTTGGAAAGTAGACCGTATGAGGTATTTAGTAAGAGACATGGCAAGTTTTTTAAACTTGTAGTTTTTTGTCGCAAATTTTGGGAAAATTAAGAAATTAAATAACATTTTTGCAGTGTGGACGGGCACATTGCCCTGCTGAAAGAGGCCACTGCCACCAGGGAATACCATTTCCATGAAGGAGTATCAATGTTTAGGTAGGTAATATGCGTTAAAGTAAAATCCACATGCATGGCAGGATCCAAGGTTTCCTAGCATCCCCAAAGCATCACACTGCCTCTGGTGGCTTGCCTCCTTCCCATAGTGCATCCTGGTGCTACCTCTTCCCCAGGTAAGTGACACATATGAACCTGGCCATCCATATGGTGTAAAAGAAAACCGAATAAGCAGACC